GTGGAGGAGGAGACACCGGGGGAGGGACAGACGGCGAGGACTGCGCCAAAGGACTACCAGAGTCAGAAGACTCGTCGACCGGAACGACCGACGGGAGGGGGTGACGTGAGACACACCAGAGGGGGCCGGACGGGGGGGCGGGGGGGGGGAGGGGCAGGGGCCACCAGGGAGGGAGGAACCAGGAACAGGGGGGGAGTAACCGGGGGACCACGGTGGGGAAAGCGACGGAAGAAGGAGACGGACTCGTCAAAGGTGACGTCGCGAGAGTGAAAGAAACGGTGAGACGGCGGGTGGTAGAAGTGCCAGTCGGACGCGTCAAGGGGGAAACCGAGGAAGACGCAGGGGAGGGTGCGGGCAGTGAGCTTGTCCGTGCCAGAGGCACGAACGTGAGCAAGGCAGCCCCAGACGTGGAACGCAGACGCGTCACCAGGGGACCCGGTCCACAGAAGGGTCGGCGAAACCTGCGGCCGCTGGGGGTGCGGCCACAGGTTAAGCTGGTGAGCGGCGTAGCGCACGGCGAACGGCCACAGAAAATGGGGTGCACCGGCGTGGATCATGGAGGTGCGAGCCACCTCCATGACCAAACCGATGCGTCGCTCAGCGACCCCATTCTGCTGCGGGGAGTCCGGCAGGGTAAACGTCTGGGTGATGCCCTCCGCACGACAGAAGCGACCAAGGACACCTGAGGCGAACTCGCCACCCCGGTCGGAGTGGAGGCGCAAGGCAGGGAGACCGCGGTGGAGACGAGCAGAGACAAGCAAGGGGATGAGAACGTCAGGCACGTCGGCCTTCCGCTCCAGGGGAAAGACGGTGGTGTAACGTGTGAAGTCGTCGACAAGCACTAGGAAGAAGCGCTCGCGACGCGGCCCATGGACCGGGGCTGGGCCCCAGACGTCCATGTGCAGAGTCTGCAGGGGTGCGGTGGTAGGGGGAAAAGAGGAGGAGTGAGGGGCACGGCGGAGCCGGCCCTCGACACAAGGCGTGCACGGTGGGGCGGGGGATGAGGGAAACTCAAGGAACGAACCGGGGAGACCAAGGACGAGACCGTGCTGGGACATGTGACGCAGACGCGGGAGTGCAGGGTGACCAAGGCGGTGGTGCCAAAGGAGAGTCGGATGAGTGAGGGACCGACAGGAGCACGCAGCAGCAACCTGGGTGGACGCAGCTACCTGGGGGGAAGACCCAGCCGGGGACGTCGCGGTGTCAAGTGTGAACAGGCCGGACACCGGGTCCCGGGGGAAAGTGGTAAGGGGGGCACCAGTGGCGGCCTCGGTACAGACAGCATACCGCTCGTGACCAGGGAACGTAGTGGTGACGCCAAGGTCCTGGAGGCAGCCGACACCAACTAGGTTCCTGGAGAACGAGGGGATATGCAGACCGGTGAGCGAACCTGAAAGAACCGCCGGACAGGGAAGGGAGGTGGAACTGCGGGCAAAGACGGGACCACCGGAGGGGTCAGCAAGAGTAACTGCAGCAGGAACAGGCAGCGGCGTCAGCGTCGTGGAGTCGCGGAAGAAACACCGGGAGGCGCCAGAGTCCAAGGTGAAGGAAAGCGCAGCAGTCGCGCGGGGCGACAGTGAAGCGGTGGAAGCACCGAGGCTAAGCAAAGCAGGAGATCCTACGCCTGACGCAGCAGGGGAGTCTACGCTAGGCACAGCTACACTAGGCAACACGGGGTAATAAGAGGGAAGCACACTAGAGTCATCGGCATACATCACATGCAAGGCTGCTACAATGGCATCCATGTCCAAGTCAAAAATCCGAATGCTACGCCTAAGCAAGCTGTGCCAGTCCGGGAGGTCGGGCGCCGGGCCAAAGCGCTGGCGGAACAGGTCGTCCAGACGACGAAAACAGCGAGGAGTGGAATGACCGATCTTACCGCAAACGAAGCCGCGGCGAGGACCGGTCTGGATCTGGTACTGACAGGGCCCGCCTCCAGAACCACCACCCGGTGCACCACCACGCGCACGACCACCACCAGCTCCAGGCCACCCAGGCGGGAGAGCACTCGCCGGCCTCGTCTGCGGCGGCTGCTGCGGCTGCTGCGGAGGCTGCTGCTGCTGCGGCTGCTGCAACGGTGGAGGCAGCGGGGCAGCTGGACCGGGCAGGGTCCCCACGTCCGCACCGGCACCGGACGACCCGCCTCCACCACTACCCCCACCCGCACCCCCGCCACCTCCGCCGCTCCCAACCTTGGGGCGGCGGCCCTTCCCCGAGCGGGACTGCACTGCAGCAGCAGTCTCAGCCACAGCGACAGAGCCGTCGGAGAAGGTACACTGAGCGGGGGCACAACCCTGAAAGATAGGGACCGGTACTGTACCGCTCGCCTGGGCTATGGAGCGGTGACGAGTCTCTATGGCAGTCAGGGTGTCAACAAAGTCGGTGAGGGTGAGAGCAGCAGGGTGGATGCTAAGGAACTGGTCGCGGGCGGCGGCAAGGCGGTCAGGGAGGCGGGTGGCAAGGAGGTAGAGGGTAGAGGTCATGGGAGGCTGGTGGACTCTAAGCTGTGCATCAGTGCAGGCAGCGCGCCAGGCCTCATCTATCGAGCGCAGGTGGGCAGCGAGGTCAGAGACAGTGGGGAAGGACGCCAGGTCAGGAAAGAGCAGGGGGAGGATCAGGCGACCCACTGAGGCAGCAGGAGGGGTAGAATAGCGCTTGATGACAGCATCGAGGTAGGCCTGGGCGGTAGTAATGGTTCTAAAGCGAGGGCGCTCAAGGGGGGGGAGGGCATTGCTAATGGCGAGCTGAGCAAGGGCATCGCGGGAAAGCCAGACAGAGCGGGCAAGGGCAGCGGCGGCAGTGGACTCGCGCTCAGCGGGCGTGGGATCAGCAGGCAGCACAGCAGGGGGGTCAGGGCAGGGGAGCATACCGTCTAGGTGTGCAGAAAGCGGGTGGCCGTCCTGCCGCTGACCAGTGAGGTGGCGGCGAAGGTCAGCCAACCACGCCTCGAACTCCAGAGGCTGACCCTCAGCATCAAAACGAAGCTCAGCAGCCATGAGGGGCAGTGGAGGACAGTGGAGTGCGGTGTAGTGCTGTGCAGTGCGGTGCAGGGCGGTGCAGTGCGGTCCAGTGCGGTGCAGTGCGATGCAGTGCGGTGCAGTGCGGTTCAGTGCGGTGCAGTGCGGGCAGTGCGGTTCAGTGAGGTGCAATGCGGTGCAAGGCGGGGCAGGAAAGTGCAGGAGGGTGCAAAGTGGTGCGGGGAACGGGGGACAGTACCAGGAAGTATGGAGGGCCGGGGCAGGCGCGACGGGGCCGGGCAGGCGCGACGAGGGGCCGGGCGGCTGCGACGGGGCCGGGCGGCAGCGACGAGGCCGGGCGGCTGCGACGGGGCCGGGCGGCTGCGACGGGGCCGGGCGGCTGCGACGGGGCCGGGCGGCAGCGACAAGGCCGGGCGGCAGCTACGAGGCCGGGCGGCAGCGACAGGGCCGGGCGGCAGCTACGAGGCCGGGCGGCAGCGACAGGGCCGGGCGGCAGCGACGGGGCCGGGCAGGACACAGCAGGGCCGGGCGGGGGCGACGGGGCCGGGCGGGCGCGACGGGGCCGGGCAGGTGCGACAGGGGCCGGGCAGCTGCGACAGGGGCAGGGCGGGCGCCACGGGGCCGAGAGGCCGCGACAGGGCCGAGCTGGGGCGACGGGGCCGAGCAGGGGCGACGGGGCCCAGGAGGGTGGATACGGGGCCCAGGGAGGAGCGCGGCAGGGCCCAGGAGGGGCGCAACAGGCCCAGGAGGGGCGCTACGGGCCCAGGAGGGGCGCAATGGGGGCCCAGGAGGGGCGCGGCGGGGCCCAGGAGGGGCGCAATGGGGGCCCAGGAGGGGCGCTACGGGCCCAGGAGGGGCACTACGGGCCTAGGAGGGGCGCGACGGGGCCTGGAGGGGCACGACGGGGCCCAGGAGGGGCGCTACAGGGCCCAGGGAGGGCGCGACGGGTCCCAGTAGGGGCGCTACGGAGCCCAGGAGGGGCGCGACGGGGCCTGGAGGGGCGTTACGAAGCCCAGGAGGGGCGCTACGAACCCAGGAGGGGCGCGACGAGGCCCAGGAGGGGCGCTACGGGGCGCTACGGGGCCTGTGAGGAGCGCGACGGGGCCCAGGAGGGGCGCTAAGGGGCGCGACGGGGCCCTGGAGGGGCGCTACGGGGCCCAGGAGGGGCGCGAAGGGGCGCGACGGGGCCCTGGAGGGGCGCTACGGGGCCCAGGAGGGGCGCTAGGGGGCGCGACGGGGCCCTGGAGGGGCGCTACAGAGCCCTGGAGGGGCGCGACGGGGGCCTGGAGGGGCGTTACGAAGCCCTGGAAGGGGGGCGCGACGGGGCCTGGAGGGGCGCTACGAGCCCTGGAAGGGGCGCGACGGGGCTAGGGGGAGGGGTCGCGACTGGGCTCAGGAGGGGCGAGGCGAGGCTAGGAGACGCGACGGGAGGAGCGGAAGCGGTAGGTGGGGGGGGGGGGGGGGTCGAAACCTACTCGTGATACCATATCAAACCTAGAATTGAATAATGTGAGAGAGAGAGTACACAAACATATACCTAAATGTTGTACTCTCTAGAAGGTGACCCTATACAGTCTATACAAACATGATAACTACACATGTTTGACAAGATGCTGTTTCAGCTAAATCAGAAAACGGAGTTTTTGCAGTTGCTCGACCCGAACGGTTCAAACGAGACGTTGAGGATGGTTACTCGAGGATACTTGCAGCAGAAAGAGGATCGTCCAGTTGAAGGAGCAGAGAAGGGGATCGTACGGCTGAAATCTCTGCGTTGAAAAGGGTGGGGAGTTCAAGTGAATTGTGAGCGTCGCTTTGCGGATGCCAGAAGCCACCATTTCGAGCTGCTATATACGTAAGGCTGAACCAAACGGTGCGCGGGACGGCGTGCAGCAGGCGGCGTGCGGACCGGGGTGTAGGAAAAGGCGCCGGATTGACCAGATTGATCGCGGCGCCGGTCCGGTCTAATCTGATCCGAGATTTGCGCGACGTGATAGTAATCATGCTCCACACGATAATAAGTGGCCAACTTCCTTTACAAGGAACATGTGCACCCACTACATAAGATGTGCATTTCCATCTGCTAGGGATCACTTCCAAACGAAGCCAAACGAATCAGGCAAGTGGCCAATTGAGCAAGCCATTGCCAAACCAAACCAAAGCAACCCAACTACGGTAATTATACGTTCCACTAACCCTCCAGCTCGTCTCTCATGTATCAATCGTCCAATTCCTCCATCCTCCTACCTGCGTTTCCCTCCCCACTCTCCCCACCACCGTCCCCTTCCTCCTCCCTCTACCCCCACTAGTCCCTCCCCTCTTCCCTTCCTTCCACCTGCCGCTGCCCCTACCGCCTTTCCCCTGCTCGATCCACCCACGCTGTGCTCCTCTGGGAAGAATCCCCTTCGCTCTGCTCTTGGTGTGAGTTCCTGAGGAACATGCGAGGAATGGTTGTTTTTTCCGAACCCAAGGAAGACACCTCAAGCCCCTCTCCTTGTCTCCCCCTCCCTCCTCTCCCTCCACTCCCTTCAGCTAGCACCTCCTCCTCACCCTGCTCTTTCTTTTCCTCCATCCCTCTCCTATCCTCCTCCGTTCCTCCATTCTCCTCCCCTTTCAAATGGCCCTTATCCCGACCCTGGCATTCGAACCTAAGCCTGCCTGCCCTTCTGAACCTAAACCCCCAACCAGCTCCGTTTCACCGGACCTGGCAGGCCCCATCCACTCCCCCCACATGCCATTGCTCATTCCCGGACCACTGCTGCCGATCCAGAAAGCCGCCCCAAGCCCACAACCAGCACCGGCTGCTACCCCATGGCTACCTGCTGCACCAGCTGCTGCTCCCCAGCGGATTCCTTCCCAGGTGCACCTGCCCCAGACACACCCTCCTAGAGCCGTCCATGCCCCTGCTACTCCCAGCTACTGTGACCATCTCTGCACTGGTCTTTGCACCCATTTGAGCTGAAATAGCTTTGCTGGCAGCAGCAGGGGTGTGGTGGTGGCAGCTGCGCCAGCGGTGGGAACGGCAGAAGGATACCTTAGACCTGCAACCTCATGCCTTGTCGATTCACGCCTTGTCTCATCACCCCCCTCTCTCATTTTCCGTTCTTTCTCCCTCATTGTCCCCTCTTCCCATACACTCTCTCCCTCCATCCCCATCCCCATCCTGTTCACTCGACAGTGCGCGCATCAGCAGATCCAACGGTGAGGAGTCCTTGGCCTCACTGCTGCGTTCTCCTTGCCACACTCACCGCTCCCGTTTAAGTGTGGCGACTCTGCTGCCACCTGCATATTCTCCACAGCACCCTCCTTCCTCCCGCCTCGTGCCTCTGCAACCCTTGTCCATCCATATGCATGCCCTGTTGCCCATGCTGATGCACATGCTGATGCACATGCTGTTGCACATGCACACCCTGCTCGTCCACCTCTTCTGCCTCCACTTGTGTCTCCTGAATCGGCTCATCCGACTCCTCCCCACTCTCCTGCCCCCCATCTCCCCCATCCCTCCCTCTCCCTTCCCACCCATCTGCCCAACACCCCGCTCCCCCATCCCACCTGCCCCTTCCCCCATTCCCTCCTCTTGTCCCAAACCACACTCTCCTCCCTCCCCCTCGCCCAGCTCCACTGGCTGTGTGGCTTCAAAGCAGGCCGTAGGGTCTTGGGAGGGGGGCATGGAGGGGAGGGACGAGGGCAGGTGCTCGATAGGGGGAAGCTCCTGACTTAAGAAGATGGGTGTGGAGGGGAGGGGGAGCTCCTGGCTGGTGGGGATCGACCATGGGTCTTTAAGCGAGTCTTTTAGCGAGTCGCTTAAATTCCCAGCAGGTACACTAGCACCAGCACCAGCTGCTGCAGCAGCTGCAGCAGTCGCAACAGCAGCAGCAGCCCCGGGGAAGAATCACCCCCAGCAGCAGCCCTAGCAGCAGCAGGAGGGGAGAACCTCCTAGGAGCCGGCTTCCAGAGGCATTTGCCTTCCCCCGATCCCTCCGCCTCTCCCACTCTACCAGTCGCACCAGTATAGCCTAACCCAAGTGTACCTCCCCTCTATAACTGGAACCTCCATGTTCCCAGAGCTTGCGGCACTAGCTGCCACGTAGCAGATGAGGGCATCGGGGCGTTGCTGGGGCCGCTACAGCGCTGCATCAGCTACAGCTGCATCTGCTAAAGTAACACCGGCTACAGTCATCCTGCTACAGCCCCGCTCTCAGTTTTCTTGGGAGAGGTATCCCCTGGCTCGTCACTAGGCGTGGAGAGGAAGCGGAAGGGGTAGTCATCTGGAGTGCCTTGGGAGAAGATAGGCCCCTGCGAAAAGAGGGCGTTCTGGGAGAAAACAGGCACACCTTCCAGCTGCTCTTGCAAGGAATCGTGCGCTCTCTGGGGGTCCTTCTCCTCGCCCCGCTTCTCTGGTGGCTCTGCTGCTGCTGCTGCTGCTGCACCTATGCCTTGCTGCTTCTGCTGCTGCTGTGCTGGTTGCTCACATACTGCTGCTGCTGCTGCTGCTGGGCCTCCTCCCCTTGGTGCCCCACTCTATGGCCCTGGGTGGCTTCCTCTAGGGTGATTGGCTCGCTGCCCGTCACCCACTTCCCTGCTGCCCCGTTATCATCCTGAGACCCTCCCACATGCACCTGCCCAGCCTCCACCTCCCCAGGAAGCCCACCCGTTACCCTTTCACCAGCCTCATTTGCCATGCCATTATCTTTCGATTGCTGTGGCTGCTGCTGCTGCTGCTGCTGCTCCTGATGCTGTGGCTGCTGGTAGTATGCCCCTGCCTCCTGCCTCTGAGCCAGGTACTGCCTGAGAGCAGAGGCAGGCAGCGTGCCCGGCCCTGATCCATGGCTCATGGCCGTAGCAGGCGGGGCTGCAGCAATGACGGCTGTGTAGTGAGGCCGAAAGGGTGCAGGGAGGAAGTGAGAGGGGAGAACGTGAGGAAATGTAAAACGAGCCGGCGGATCTGTGTGAGGGAAAACGAGAGGTTAAGAGGGGACGAGAGAGGGGAGGGCAAGAGGGGACATGGGCGGACAAGAGAAGCATTCTCACCTCCTGGGACTGCGGGTGCGAGCCAACGTCTGACGTGCTGTCTCCCAGCTACTGCTCATACGCCCTCAGGTCACTCACTCCTGCCGCCACATCATTGCCAAGCGCTCCAGTAGCCGACAGGAGCGACACGGGGGACGAGAGAGGGGCGAGAGCGGGCGAGAGAGGGGAGGGGCGAGAGGGGAGATGGACGGGCAAGAGAAGCATTCTCACCTCTTCTGACTGCGGGTGCGAGCCGACGTTGAAGCGCTGTCTCCCAGCGACTGCTCATACGCCCTCAGGTCACTCACTGCTGCCACCACACTGCCCACTGCTGCACCGCTTGTAGCACCAGTAGTAGCTGTAGCGGCCGTAGCACCTGTAGCACCAGTAGCAGGTGCCGCAGTCCCAGGCAAAGAATCCGTAGCAATGCCTTCCCTGCGAAACTGCGGTTACCACACAAGCTCTGGTTACCCTGCTGCTGCTGCTGTTGGCACAGAACCAACCTCCCACCTTCTCCTCCCCAACCAGGCGGCTTCAATGCCAGAAGACCCGAGGCAGACTGGGCGGAGGGGGGTGATGGGAAGAGGCATAGCAGTACTGGGAGTGACGGGTTCTGCAGCACCAGCAGCACCCGCAGCACCAGCAGCACCAGCGGCACCGGCACCAGCAGCCGCACCAACGCTACCAAATCCAAGTGGTTCAAAGCCACTAAGTCCCACCCGTCTCTGGGTGCTGGCAGGAGGAGAGAGGAACATCCCACTGCCATGACAGCTGCCACTGCTGTTGCTGGTGATGCTGCTCCGTCCCCTGCCATGGCCAATTCCACCACCACCCGCAGCACAACCTGCACCAACAACCGCCCCAGCCCCAGCCCCAGCCCCAGCCCAGGCCCCAGCAGCAGCAGCCAGCAACGGCAGCAAACCCGCCTTTCCTATTGAAAGGCGTGAATCCCACACCCACACTAGCAACGCCTGTCTGGGGCCCTGCTATACCAGTTATGCCTGATAAATAAACCCCCTGGGAGTGTGCTGGGGGGAGCTTGGCTCTGGAAGGAGAGCAGCGGCGGGCCCTGCTGCTGCACCCACTTCTCCTGCTGGTGCTGTTCCTCCTGCTACGGTACTCAGATCAGGCTGTTCAGCACCTGGCACCATGGCGCCAGCTGCTGATGAGAGGGAGAAGCAGCAGACGGCGATGGGGATGGTAGGCCTGTTGTAATTACCCCACCTGATGCGGCTGAAGGGTGAGACTTGAAACGCACCCCTCGCTGCTGCCAGCACTCCCCCCTTTGCTGCCCTACCCGCTCTAGAACCCCCCGGCCACCAGGGCTTATTCCTTTGCCTCCCTTCCTCTCCTCCCTGCTTGCTATAGCCCCTACACTCGAGCCTCCTGCCCCAACCCTGACCCCAATCCCCCTCCTCTCCCCGTAGCCGCTGCTCTAGGCGTCACTGCTATGCTGCCATCTTCATCCTCGTCATTAACCTCCTCAATATCATCCACTGCCTCCTCCTCCTCCGCCTCCTCGTCCTTCCCTAAAGCCCCCCCTTCCCCCACTGCTTCAATATCCTCCCTCCCCTCGCCCTCTTCCTCCTCCTCCGCCCCTTGGCCCACACAGGGGGCAACGACCCCTCCCTGCTGCTGCCCGTGTGCCTGAACTCTGCCTCTGCTGGATCTGCAATGGAAAAATGGGAAGCAGGTACAAAAGACAGTGTGAGGGTGAGACTCAGAGCAATCAAGCAATCAAGCTGGCGAAAGGTCTCCCTGCTGCCTGCCCGTGTGCCTGAGTTCTGCCTCTGCTGGATCTGGGAATGGGGAAAACGGGGAGAAGGTGCAAACGAGAGTGTGAGACTCAGAGCAAGCGAGCAAGCAAGGAGGCAGAGAGAGAGCCCTCCCTGCAGAGCTGCCCCGCTCCGCTTTCAACCCTAGACAGGAAAGCACACCAGTAGGTTCCTTACCTGGTTAGAACACCTTTGAGACCACCCACTCGCCCTCCTTCCCCTCGCCCTGCTCGCCCACGTGGTACTGGTCATGATCCGGTTCGTCTTCGGGTCCTTCCCTACCTCTCAGAGCTCTATAGCGCCAGAACCCTTACCTGGAAAAAGACTTTTTGAGACCACCCACTCGCCCTCCTTCTCCTCGCCCTGCTCGCCCACGTGGTACTGGTGCATGATCCAGTTCGTCTTCCGGTCCTTCCCGGCCCCCCCTGCAGGGCTGCTCCGCTCGTCTGCTCCTCGCCTCTTGCCCTCTGAGCGCGCGTCTCATACAGCACCAGGATTTTCTTCCATCCGATCTGGTGGGGGTGATGTGCATGCGGAAAGAGGGGTTGGGGAGTGAGCCTCATAAGGCTCTTGCCCTCTGAGCGCGCGTCTCATACAGCACCAGGATTTTTTCCATCCGATCTGTAGCCGGTGAGTGAGGGGGAGAGGGAAGGGGGGAGTTGGCGTGGGGGGTGGGGGGGCGAGGGGGCTGGAGTGGAAGCAGGGTTAATGACGCGCCTAGAAACACTGCATGTCCTCTAGGGGCGCGTTCATACAGACCAGGGAATTTTTGTTTTCCAACCGATCTACTCTGGCTTGCAGAGGAGGAAAGGGGAAAGGGAGGCAAACAGTCGGAGGAAAATGAAACCAAAATGTAACGGTCGTACGTTGGACTATACATAGTAGTATCTTTAACTACAAACTGAATTCACCCCAGCAGAGGAGTCCGTAGGGATCAAACAGTTTTTGGTTTCGGGCGAACACAGGGCGGGGACTTCCCCGTCTTGCACCATCTGTATCCGCACTCCTCCCTACCCCCCCCCCCCCCCCCCCCCTTCCGCGCCGTCCACCCTAAAGTGCTCCCTGGCAGCAGGCTGCTGGCGGAGGGACGCTCTGAGAAGATCTTGCGCCTCTTGCGCAGCCCATGGGCCATGCCATGGCGTATCAGGGAGTAGGCATGAGGCGTGACGTGCTAGCATAGCAGGCCGCCAGAAGACCTTTTATCAACGGCTGAGAGTACATTGCTCCACCGCCTTACCTGTTTCCGGTTTCGGGCGAACACGGGGCGGGTCTTCCCCGTCTTGTGCCACCTGTAACCGCAATCCTCCCTCCCCCCTCCAGCGTCCACCCCTCCTGCCCGCCTGGCAGCAGGCTGCTGGCGGAGGGGCGTTCTGAGAAGATCTTGCGCCTCTTGCGCAGCCCCATGGCGTAGGCGCGCGAGGGGCGGTGGAAGTAGTGCCTCGTGGTGCCGTCCGTGACAATGCCTGGAGGGAACGAAATGGACGCGATCGGGGGAAAGCAGCACTGGCTTGTGAGACATTTAGAAAATCATTATTCTACAAAGATTCTCACTGATCAGGAAAACTGCGACTGCCTTGGGACAACTGGAGCAATGTAAGACCCTTCGTTCTGGATCGATCGGAAGCGAAAGAGTTTCTACGACAACCGACGTTCCCACAGCCATGTCGAAACATGGTACCTAGGTTGTCAGGTAACGAGGTCACTGAAGCTCGAAACAAGAAAAGGGGTCACGTTAATACGCTGGGCCAGACGAGGCCATAACGGCAACCCTACCAGGCAAGTCTTCCGGATAAACGCTGCAGATCCCGTCTTCGAATCCCAGCGTCGGAATAAACTCCCCCACGCGCGGATGCTGCTGTCTCCGGGCTCGTTGCACCCGTGGCTTACTACCAATCCCCACTGCCACGTTTTCTTTCCCTCGGCTGGCTTGCCGCTTAACGCCGGGTTTAAGAGTCTGTTCCTCGTCGTCTTTGCTGGGGTGCTCCTCGTCGAGCTTCGCTAAGAGATGATCCATAACTGTACATCTGTCGGCTCGAAGCGTACGCCAGCTGGGAATCCGGCCCAATCAAAGAACGGCTGTGTCGTTCCCATCTATCCTTATTGCTGATGGCAGTGATTCTTGCTGAAGAAGGAACAACTGAAACTATTTTCTGGTAAAACGCAGGGAATACGTCGAAATAGATAGACAGGCGACAGCATTAGACCCGGTAAACGGGTCGACAAGACCACAAGAAACGGGCGGGATGAAGCCGAGGACGAAGCTAATGTATCACCTTTCCACCTTACTCATCCAGGATGATGGAGATGTCCGCTGGAATTCAACCTAGTTCAACCATCAGCCATGGCTGCCGTTGAGCAGTTAGCAGGCTGACTGACTTGAAACCCTCGTCGCGTCTTTCTGACGATACCAGATCCGAACTTCACGCGCTACAGTAATTCCCGCGGCAATTCCCTTCCACCTCCTGCCGCGCTGATATCCCCCAAACGGACTCCGCCAACATTCCCCGCCAACCATCAGCCAAGCCAACCACCACACTCCAGAGTCCAGCCCGATGAACTTCCGCGCTTCTGCGCTTCCCCCATTGGCATCTCCGCTTCCCCGCTTATGCCCTCTCATCTCCGCGCCCTGCACAGCGTCTGCTTGACGAAACGAAACCCTTGAGAATACCGCCAGGGTGAGTTCAAGACCAAGTTCAAGAGGGCTTGGGTGTAGTTGTAAGGAAATGGTCTTCCCTTATCAAGGGTTTTAGTTAGTACGACGTACACTGCTATAACGGAGTTGCCGCCCAGCTCTGCTATGAAATTCAGATCGCGGGACCCAAATGTGGCCTCCTGACGAGCCGCATGCATTTTTCCTGCCTTGCTGTTTCATGCCTAGATCTAGGCGCTTCGCGCCAATTTACAAACCCACATAACAGCTCTGCCGAGCCTCGACCGTGTGCTCTCGGCTAGCTATATCCATACTCCTTGCTAATTGATGTTGCCTCTGTTGTATTATTCCTCGCTACTCAATTATGCGACACACGCTCTTTGCGTTTCATTACACATGGCCATCAGAGCCAACGATCCTTAGCCTTGCGCTCTAGTTCCGCTGGAAAACCGACACTTACAGAGGCTGACACCCAGTGCTTACTGCATATCCGCTGTCTTGGTAATATTAATCGATAATTACCTACAGCCACAATTGTGTACGCAGTGCCATCGTACCGAAAGCCGCCCAAAACTTTCCACAAAATTGTAAATACGTCGTCGCCTAACACCGTGACTCGTGAAGAAAGGGCAGCAGCACTCGAAGTGTTGTGATAAAATCGTACTTAAGCATTTCTGTAAGTAGTTCCGATAGATATTGTCGAGTTACACTGTAGTTAGCATCCCTAGAACGACGTCAGCAAATAGCGCTCGTCTGGATAATTACATCAGCAAGCCGTTTCAGTTACGCGAACAGTCGCGCTCCTTTCAGTAGCGGTTAGAGCGCATAGCGCAAATAGTTTTGAACAAGTACATTACCGAATAAGTACTTCTAGTAGATATAAAAGTAGCTTGTACGGCTTCAATTATCAACTTGTTCTTCAGTAAATTCTGGTCAACACCTACAAGTTTACCATTCCAGCAAAGATCCTTGATTAAGTCTTGAAGTATCATAAGGCTGTAACACTGATTCTGGTATTACAACTTGTTAATACTGGTTGTTACTGGAGGTACTTTTAGTATTACTTTCTACTTCAAGTACTTGTGTCTGCAGATTCTATACTTTGTCTCCTGCACCACCTTTCAATTTCCTTCATGGTATGCGAGCTGTCTGGAATTAAGACTATCGTCAATTCTACAAATGATCGGACCATCACCAACCCCAATTTCCTTCATGGTATGCGAGCTGTCTGGAATTAAAACTATCGTCAATTCTACAAATGATCGGACCATCACCAACTCCAACATCTTCTTCTTCAACAACTGGACCCACGGGTATTAGAAATCCTACAGTCTTCATAGGTCAAGCACGTTACTCTGCAGCTGGAAAATTTCCACCTGCTTATTCTTCAATTGGGATGCCTCAACAGCAGCAAGTTTTGCCTATTGTGCATCCACCGGGGACTTCGTCCTCGGCACCTGCAACATCATAGCAACAAGCAGCAGCATCAGTAACAGCGGCCTTCGGTGGTATGAGTATTGATGGTTCCAGCTATGCAAGAGTTGCAGTCGCTCCAAGCTCCGGTTCTTCGTTCGCGTTTACACTTGCTCAACATCAACAGCTTCAATTTCTTCAGCAACATCAACAAGCGCAACAATAGTTTCAGCAACAGCACCAAAATCAACAGCAACAACAGCAACAACAGTTTCCGCAGCTGTAGATCTCTTTTACTGGACCTGTTTTAAAAGCACCAAACCTTTTAAGTAATACACTGATCAAAACAATTTTACATTTTAATGGCGGTGGCTTCTACTCTTGGAGTTTCGAGTTCGATCTCTCCTCGCGAAATCCGCTGGATTATGGCCGTTCTTCAGTGGCGATTACTCGTATCCTGTTACGGGAACACAGATGGAGGAGCAAAGTTTTCTTCATGCTTCACTCAGCGCTTACACAGTTCTTATCCGCAATCTGTCGCTGAAAGAGCAGCTTGGTATACGCTCGTTTCACACCAGCTTGACTCGAGCCGATCTGCATGGAAGCATTTGAAGGGGCTATATATGGCATATGAGACCATTTCCATGAGTAAGATTCTCTCACAACTGACAACTGTATAGATGCTGGGCAACGCGAATGTTTCGGATTACATCAACAGGGCTCGAACACTTCGTGACCAATCGGAGGCAGGAGGGACAGTCACCGGAGAGGGAGCACTGCACTAAAGGATAGGGACCGCTGGAGCGCTAGTGGAACCAGCGATGGCATGGAGGCGGTCCTCTACCTCAGTAAGGGAGGTTGAGAAGAGATAAAGGGTGAGCGAGGATCGCGTCGCGGGCAGGGGCAAGGCGGTCAGGGAGGTGGGTGA